GCATTGGCAGTCTGTCAGTCATTTTTCTGTGTCCTGCAGAAAGTCTCGTAGACTCTTCCAAGAATCAGGAACCCTGAAGGACTGTTTGAGTTGAGTAGTCACTTTCCTGTGGGTCCTGCATGTCCAGTTTATACAGCAACAGTCAAGCAGTCCAGTCAAGAGCAGTTTCTTGCCCAAATGGCTAATTTTTCCACATTGAAAACAAACTCCATAACGAGTCTCTTCAATGCCCATCTTCCACTCAGACATAATTGGTGCTGCCAGGAGCAGACATTTCTCATTGTCAAGAAAAACCCTAAGCATTTTAAATGTCATTTTCTGAAGGTCTTTGAAAGGTTTGAAGACTGTCTATCTCAAATATATCTCTGTATATCTAGGAAACCTAACTAACCTAGCAATAAGTCCTGACTGTCATAAGTAACTATCTATAGTCTGTATTCAATTATGCATTATGTTTTAAAAGATCAGTATAAGCACAATACTTAATCAGGAAGAGAAATATACACACCACAAAATTGACCTTGAATTTGTCTCAATAAATGAAAAACCATACCCATACCATAATTCCCCTTTTAACCATTAAATAGAGATTGGCTGTGATCATTAGTCAATTATAAACAAGCCCATTTAAATGAAAACAAAGATTTATAAACAAGATGGGAATTAGGACGTCGCTCATTCCAAACTGCTTCGTGCTGGAAAGGGGTGCTGTTCATACCATGGGGATCATGACAAAACTCGGAAACCTGTATAATACAGTCCGTATTCTCGGGGTCTGTAAGACTGCATCATCTTAGCTGTTTCAATTGTTGGAACACCTGGTCCACTGCTTCCGGGGGTCTTGGTTCATCAAACCACAGAAGCCTGGAAGGAATCCTCAGCTTTTCATTTTCTGTAGAAACATAAACAAAAACTCCTTTCCCAAGTAACACATCCTTATACTTAAATTTTGAAGTCAAGGCATTTTCAAAAGATATAAGTTGAATTAATTCAGCAGCATTTGTAATCAAGTGTATTTTAGCAGTTTTTCCTTCCTTAGCAATCAAAAAACTGAAAAACACAATAGCATACAGTATCCAGACTCTCTGTGTATTTTCCATGTTTACGTGCCTTATTTATTTATCTATTATTATTATTGTATTTCTTTTACTTTTATTTATTTTTCTCTGAGACAGGGTTTCTCTTTGGAAATCAGCCTGCCTCTGCCTCTGCAGCAAATCCTAGCTGCGTGCGCCACCACAGCCAGCTTCTCTACTTTTATTTGCCACTATGCCGTTTTTCTTCGTCTCTCTCAATCTTATGTATATTTTTAAACACATTCTAAACCTTTAGAGGTTTTTCTTCATCCAAGACTGACTTTATTGTAAATCTTTATGTTTTTCTGGCCGCGTGTCTTATCTGTTAAAACCACGGCAGTTTAAACTGCAGTTTTTCCAAGATGGCGGGCGTAAGCGTGATTCCAGCCCACTGCCTCAGTCTATGCTGAGATCCAGCAAAAGCTGCCGCCTTGGAGATGTGGTCTCTGCCACTTCCAGCTGTACATATACTCCTTTGAATTGTTAGCAGAGCCTTGTTTTTTTTTTTTATGCTGAGTCAGGAAGACTCCCTTAAGTAAGCCACGTGAGTCTCTGCTTGTCGCTAGCAAAATAGAGCCCACCTGAGAAAATGCTGCTACCAAAAATCTGTGCTTCTCTCCATTCTTCTGTTTCTAAAATGTCTTTAAAGCTTTTGTCATTCTACGTGGAAATTCATCATCCAACTTTTGACACCATTATGTAAAGAGGAACCTTCCCGCAAGCCTGGTTCCAGAGCCGCATCAGGCCCAAATGAACACACAGGAGGCTATATTAATTATGACGCTGTTGGCCTTGCTTGTTTCTTACTGGCTAGCTCTGACTTAAGTATTTACCACATAATTGTTAATCAAAGTATTTCTCTTACCCGAGAATAGTTCCAAACTTCTTACTCCTAACACAGCTACATCTTGACTCCCTGTGTTTCTCCTACCCAGAGTCCTCCTGGACTCCTAGTCCCACCTATCTTGCTTCCCTATTGGCCAACAATGCTTTATTGACATATACCCAGGACTTCCCCAACACAAATTGGATCCAAGAACACATCAATCAATCATTCACCACGATCAGGTAGGTTTCATCCCAGGGATGCAGGGATGATTCAACATATGAAAATCCATCAGTGTAATCCACCATATAAACAGGCTGAAAAACAAAAATCACATGATCATCTCACTAGATGCAGCAAAAGCCTTTGACAAAATCCAACACACCTTCATGATGTAGGTCTTGGAGAGATCTGGGATAACAGGAACATACACAAACATGATAAAAGCTATATACAGCAAACCAACAGCCAACATCAAACTAAATGGACAGAAACTCAAGGCAATTCCACTAAAATCAGAAACAAGACAAGGCTGTCCACTCTCTCCATACCTTTTTAATATTGTACTTGAAGTTCTAGCTAGAGCCATAAGACAACAAAAGGAGATCAAGTGGATACAAATTGGAAAGGAAGAGGTCAAACTTTCACTATTTGCAGATGATATGATAGTTTACATAAATGACCCAAAGAACTCTACAAGGGAACTCTTACAGCTGATTAACACCTTCAAGAAAGTGGCAAGCTACAAGATCAACTCAAGAAAATCAGTAGCCCTACTTTATAGAGATGATAAAAGGGCTGAGAAAGAAATCAGAGAAACATTACCCTTTACAATTGCCACAAACAACATAAAATACCTTGGGGTAACGCTAACCAAACAAGTGAAAGACCTGTATCACAAGAACTCCCTCATATATGGATTTTAGACATAGATCTGGGGAGTGCCAGCCTACAGTCCCATGGCCAGAGAGTCTTGGAAACAGAACCTTCATTCAGTGGCTGATGGAAGCAGAGGCAGACTCACATGGCTAAGCACTGAGCTGAACTCAAGAAATCCAGTGACAGAGAGGGAGGACTGATGCCTAAAGGCGTTAAGACTGGGCTGTTTTAACCCCCAGAAACAGCTGACGCTCTTGAATCCTAGACTGATGCCTGGGAATCCAGTATGGGACGGATCAAGACCCCCTGAATGTGGGTGTCAGTGAGGAGGCCTAGGTAATCTATTGAGCCTTGGGTGGTAGATCAGTGTTTATCCCGGGTATACAAATGGACTTTGGGCTCCCATCCAACAATGAGAGATGCACTCTCACCCTGGACTCTTGGGTGAGGGTCTAGGCCCTGCCCTGGGTGAAATGACAAACTATGGACACACTCATGGAGGGCCTCACCCTCCCTGGGGAAATGAGGAGATATTGGAGGGGTTGGAGGGAGGGCCTGGGAGGAGGGGAGGGAAAGGCAGAGGGAACTGGAATTGACATGTGACACAACCTTGTTTCTAATTTAAATTAAAAAAAACCTTCAAAAAGAAGTATATAGGTCAAATAATAAGGCAAATAACCTACCACTCAAGAGGTTCAAGCAAGAGGGCTATGATTTCAGTCCACACTAAGTAGCAGCACACTGTCTCTTGAGTGGTAGGAACAGGTACATGTATCACCACACTCACTTTATGCAAGAAACTTGGAAGTTCTACCTGAGGTCAGTCTGATGGCTCAGTGTGTGAAAGTGCTTGCTGCCAAGTGTGGCATGGTGAGTTCAGAACCTTAGGCTGACATTGTAGAGGTAAGGATAGACTCCTTCATGTTGGCCTCTAATTTCTTTTGTACACCATAACATGAATATACACACATAAATAAACAAACTTATCATAATATAATGATAAAAGGAAAAGTTACCAATCTGAGCATGGCAGCTCATAGCTGAAATCCTAACACATGGACACCATCATTCAACTCCTTAAGACTTGAACTTCTGATCTGCCCTTCTAAGTAGAAGAAGGAGGATCAGAACTTGCAGCCCAACCGTTCCTAAACATTTCCAGTAACAGGCCAGTCTGGGTTATAGGAGACATGGAGTCAAAGAATAAACAACTAGACCTATGGCTCAATGTCAATCATTGGATCATAAATTCAAGGCCAGCCTGAGTTACGTATCACCTTCCAGGTCATTCTGGACTTCATAGATCCTGGTTCAACAAAACAAACACATAGAATTAGTCGAGTATGGTAGCAAACACCTTTAATCACAGCACTGTACTTGTGGTAGCTTATATTTGGGCAGTGAAAGTGGAATAAATCTTCCTAAAATTGTTTGTTGTCATGAGGTTTTATCACAGCCGCAGATATACAGAATCCATAAACCAGTAAAGGACAACATCTGTAGACTATGATACTTCAATTATTCCACCTAGAAGTATGAACCTTGAGAGAGTGTGTATTAAAGTTTAGATGTTAAATGTCCAAGGAATGGTCCTGTGTTTGAATATTGATCCCTAGCATTGGACTTCACTGTTTTTGAACTTATGGAAAATGTGAGAAATCAAACCTAGAATGAGGACGAGGGTCATGGGAGGTATAGAGAAGCTAACTGAATGCAAACAGCCTCCTTGGGACATTCTGCCCCACTGGCCAGACCAGCCTTCATGTCCTTGGGGACACATGTGTGTGAGTGAGGTATGTAGAGCCATCATAGAACCTAGGGTGCCAGGACATGGCTCCATCTCCCACATGGGTTGTCTTAGGGTTCTTGCAGACAAGTATTTTCTTGACCATTTTGAACATGCCAGGCTCCTGTCTCTGGGATCCTGGGCTTTGGTGAGAAGTCTCAGGCCTAATGGAGACCATGTGATGAATGCTGTCATCTTTAACCCCCACAGATGTTTGTTCCAGGCCCTAGGGTGCAATGGAACACAGTATTTTGTCACCACATCCCAATGCAGTCATCCTACAGAGCCCAGGAATCAGTCTTTAGAGAAAAATAGCCTGAAAACTTTGAGTGTAGACATGCTGAGTTATTACATCCTTGTCCTAGGGTGGTAGGTTCCAAAAGAAAAGCAAACCACTATGCCCCTACTACCCTGAGCATGTCAGAATCCATAACCAAGGGAGGGCCAATGTTGCGGGGCCCTTTGTCATTCTTATGATTCTCTTTCATTATAAAAGTGAAACACATCCTGGTTAAGGTTGGACGTCAATGTCCCACAAAGAATCAAGTGTTTGGACGCAGTCCCCACTAGGTGACATCATTTGGGAAAACTGGTGGACCCAGGAAAGTGGCTTTACAGGAAGTAGTGGCTCATTGGGCACATTGGGGACAGCCATTTGAATGTAGCCAGTGTCATCAGGCTTCTACTGCCACACTGAACAGAATAGCTTTCCTGTCCTTGGTGACAGAAGGTAAAGAAACCATCGAGGTGTGCTGAGCTGCCATTGGTCCATTTCTTGCTGTGACCTCACAATGACAGAATCCTCTGCACTAACAGCTCTGGCTGAGGCTGACTCCAGTGCTTACAGTTCAGAAGCTGTTAGCTGGTTGGAGACTATTGAGATTCACTTATCAGTGAGCTACTTGTACTTGGATAGTGGTGAATTGGTGAATCTGAACACAGTGAGTGGCTTCTAGTTCATAGATACCGGGTTTAGAGATTTTGTGTCCCTGAATTTAAACTAAATCTCCAGTCCTTCTTTGGTTTGGGGTACAATGTGTGGCAGTTTTTATTTTTTATTAGAATTTACTCTATGTGTTATGTTTTGATTTTTTGAGACAGGGTTTTGGAGGCTGTCCTGGAACTCATGTGTAGACCACGATGGCACAAACTCACAGAGATTCGCCTGTCCATGCCTCGCATTTGCTGGGACTTAAGGGGTGTGCCACCAAAGTCCGACTGAATTTACTCTATTTTAATGTGTCATTTTATCTGGACTTAACTCTTCTTTTGCCATTTAAAAATATCAGTCTATATTAATTGAACAAGATTCTCATGGGGCATTTCCATACATGTACAAAACTTGGACCACATTCCCGTGATCTCACAGCCCCCTTCCAAGTCCCTAGTGTTTCCCTTTTTAATTCAGCCTCTTTCTGAGTACAGGCCAAGTCATGTGTACTGTTGAGAGGACTGACAGGCCACAATGGATGGTCTCTTAGGGAAGGGCACCAATGTGTCTGTGCTTTGACAGAAAGCCTCAAGCTAGGTGGTTATCTTGGGATCTTCCTGGCCGTTCAAGGTCATGATTGGCAAGGACAGAGAAAATAGTCAGATCCTCTTCTTTCGATGAAATATATGGAACAGGGCAACTGAAAAGAATTCAAGAACACAGTAAGTGAAAGTGTAAAGAGAGCCTGCAAACTCTTAGAGGCTAAGTAGCAATCAGCTAACCTTCCTATTTGGACAGATATCCAACAAGTGAAGTGTCTCTCCATGTACCCCACACTACATGATCCTAAATCGCTAAGAAGCCCCATGCTCCTTCCGTTACATCCCCTTATCCCTATTCCTGACTTCCCCATCCTCTCTGTAGCTAATTCCTATCAACGGCTGTTGTCTCCATGCTCTGATCCAAGGTTATTTTGATGAACAACAGACTCTAGGTTGCTGGCTTTCCCATTGAGCTCCTATACAAGATGCATCAGCGGACCCTGAAGGACTCTCGTTAGGGTGGCCACAGCTAGTTGGATCATGTCTGATTGCAGGGTGTGTGTGTGTGTGTGTGTGTGTGTGTGTGTGTGCCTGTGTCCTGCAAGGTCCCTGTTAAAAACTTCAATCCTAGGAGAACTCTATTAACAAATGGGCACTCAGGAGCACTAGAGATTGGCACACAGAACAACATGTGGCCTTTAAGAAAAGGCTTCATAGACTGAGTTCATGCTTTTCCTTGATCGTGTGAAAATACAAACCAATTCTAATTAGAATGCAGTCCTGTTATACTCACAGTCCTCAGGTACTTGATCTTATCTTGCGAATGTCTAGATACACAAGGAACCAATTTCTGTTGTATTTCAGTGACATAACTAAAGATTTTTGTTTGAGAGAGGAAGGGCCTAGGGTGCCAGAATATGGCTCCATCTCCCACATGTTGTCTTAGGGTTCTGGCAGACAAATATTTTCTTGACCATTTGAGTATATCAGGCTACTGCCTCTGGGATCCTGGGCTTTGGTGAGAAGTCTCAGGTCTCATGGGTATCATGTGTTGAATGACGTCATCTTTAACCCCACACAGATGTTACTCCCGGCCCTGGGGTTCGAAGAAACACAGCATTTTGTCCCAACATCCTGATATAGTCAGTGGCTGCCTGTTCTCTGAGTGAATTCTCCTGAGCCATTTCCCCACATGGACACTCTGGGTTTTCAAGTGTCTGTTGTCTTTGCAACTGCTATCCCTTCTGGTTTTACTAGAACCTCATCTCTGTCAGTATTGGTTACAGAAAGAGGATCATGATCCTCCGCAATGAGCAGCTCTTAGCTTCTGTGACCTTTGTTTTATTCTCTGAGTTGCTGGATGGTTCCTATATACCCCATTGGTGTCATACTCTACAGTCCACTGCTGTAGAAGATGCTTTCTTCTCTTGTGAGCGTTAAGTACCTGCTTAGGGTGTCAGCAATGTCTGAGTGTCATCTTAAGGACATAGGAATGTGTTGCTATGGACATTCTCCTGGGCCTGATTTGAACAGTTTCTTTAAACTTCCCCCTTGTCAATTCGGTTCTAGCCATATCACCGAGGACGCGACCATGGAGCAGGGCAGGGAGGCAAGCTGCTCCTCTGAGGACTCCTTCCTGCCTGACTATAAGATGCTGAAGACCGTGGGCCAGGGACAATTTTCTAAGGTTAAGCTGGCCATCCACGTTCCTACTGTAACCCATGTGGCTGTAAAAATGATCAGAAATGAGAAGGAGTACGCCTCAGTTGTTGCTAGTGAAATAAACATCATGAAATCTCTCAAACACCCGCACATAATCGAATTGCTGAACGTGTTCCAATCAAGAGATACCACCTTCTTAGTGATGGAGCACGCATCACAAGGAGATCTTTTTCGACACATTATGCAACAGAGGTGCTTAATTGAGAGCGAGGCACGGAGGCTATTTACCCAGATTCTCCTTGCAGTTCAATACTGCCACAACAACCAGATTGCCCATAGGGACATTAAGGCTGGTAACATACTGCTTGACACCATGGGCAACGCAAAACTTTGCGATTTTGGCCTTGCAGCAAAGGTGCCCCCAGGGGACCTGATGACAGATTCCTGTGGTACCCCGCTCTACTGTGCTCCAGAAGTCTTCTCAGGTGAAGCCTATGATGGTTTCAGAGCTGATATATGGAGTTTGGGAGTTCTCCTCTTCCTCATGGTGGTTGGGCGCTTTCCCTTCTGTGCCAGGTCTCCTGAAGGTGTCAGAATACCTCAGCACATTTCCACCGATATTTCCATAGTCATCACCCAACTACTGATGAAGGACCCAGGCAGGAGGGCCAACATTGAACAAATCATGGCCAGCCCCATGATCAGGGACACCATTGCCCTTTTGCCTCCTTCCACACAGAGACTCCCAGGCACCCTGACACCCACCAGCATTGTCAGCAGCATGACGGTCATGGGGTATAAGTCTGAGGAAAACACTGATTGTCTCAGAGAACAAAAGGACAACCAGCTGATGGCCACTTACCTGATTCTCAAACACGAGTCCTCTGTGGGAGATAGCTGCCATCAGCCGGTGAAACCCAGGCAGTCAGGACTTGTCCTCAACCTGGGAGATCATCACACCTTCCCTGTGCCTCTAAGGAGAGCTACTGAGCCTGCTCCCCTGGCCTTCACCATGTCATGCAGTCTTCAGGAGACAGAGCATGAGAACAATGCCAAGCATGGTGGCACAAGGCATAGCATGCCTGCCACCCTATGCCACCTGTCAGACAGGCCCCAACCTCCACACCTAGTCTTCCCGAACAGGCCCCGTTCTCTTGACCTTACACGCAGTAGCGTGGTAATGAGAGAGAGTTCCTCTGAGTCAAAGATCGGGTCACATGTCAGCCTGATTGACAGTGTCCGCCCATCACTGTTCTTAATGTTCAATGATTCTTGTTCACCAGACGACAAGGAGACCACATGTAACACAGGCAGTGTATCTTCCTGGAGTTATCAAGAGGAACTCTGCAGCTCCAGAGACACAGCTCAGAGTGTAACTTCCAAAGGCCCTTCCTCTGGGGATACCAGGCAGGGAGACTCCAGGATACAAGAGGAAGACATTAGTGAGGAAAGGAATATCCCACAGGAAGAGGCCATGAATGAGGAAGGTACCATCATACACGAAACAACCATACCCCAGGAAGAGGCTCTCACACCAGAAGTGACCAATACTCATGATGAGACCATCACAGAAGAAACCACCATGGTCGATGGAGAGACCATGGCTCACACTGAGGCCATCATAGAGGAAAAGAATATAATGGAGGAGGAGGACATGCATCGGGAAGCAAATGTCTCCCTGGAAGTGAGGAGGACCCAGGCAGGGCATAAGACTCAGGATGACAGCATCACAGAGGAGGAGGCCATCACCCACGGCCAGCCTGAGGTTGCCGGCCAGGCTTCCTCCCCAATCCTGAGGCGCCACAGGTGGAAGGGGTTCAAGAAAACAATGGTGAACTGCCTCAGACACGTGTGCTTCTGTTTGCCACCTGCCAGGAGAAGCCACGATGCCTGTCAGAACCTGGCTCCAAAGAAACGGGATCCTGGAGTCACCCACAGAATCAGGTGGGGCCACTTACTTTATTTTACTCATTCTTTGCCTCCTGTCCTTTGTGACAGACGATGACTATGCCCACTTGTTTTGTTTTCCTTTATTTTTATTTAAGTAGGAAACAAGCTTGTTTCTCATGTCAATCACATATCCCTCCCCTCCCCTCCTGCAACCCCCCACACACCAGACTCCTCCAGTCCCCCAACCAATCTCTACTCTGATCCCAAGTGAGTGTGAGATCCTCTATTGTGGCACACTTGTGAACTTAAGAACCTGTTCCTTCAGAAAGACCAACCCCAGAGGATGCCCTCCAGTGTGACCTCAGGCTTGTTGAGGTAGAATTGGACAGCAGAGATGCTGATCAAAGCAGGCAGAGGGATGCTTAGGTGCTGCATCGTCAGCACAGTAAGTTCTATGTGTGCCAAAGTTACTAAGTGTCTGCTTCCTCTTTCTTTCTGCTTTGTAGTTCTGAAGTGGTCAAGGCCCAGCTCCGTGGCTTATGAGCCACGGGTTGGGGATCGGCCTGGCTGAGGTGTGGACAATCCCGCAGGAGAGCGAGGCCAGACATCCAGGAGGCAGTGTGTCCACAGGCTCCTCCTGCAGAGGAAGAACAGCTGTCCACACCAGCTGAGCTCTCACCAGGTGAAATCCCAGGCGGGAAGGGCAGGCTTTACATGGGGTCTTTCTTGTTCAGAGGGCAGGGCAGAGTTACAAAGGTGGCCCAGGCTGTGTTGTGGAACAATAGACCCTTCCTCTCTCCCTTGCCTGGGTAAACATCACAGACTGCACTCTGGGTAATGACTGTCCTTGGCTCCTTGTTTCCTGGCAGAGAACATGATCTTCTCCATGGGGTGGCCCTTTTCACCCCCAGGGAGAGTATTCCTAGTTAGCCAGTCTCATCATCCCCAAGATGGGCTCTCAGGTTGAGAATCTGGCCTGCAAGAGGCCCTATAGAATGCTCTAGAGGGCAACCTCCTGCCAAACACTTGCAAAAACCTGCAAAAGTCCTGAGTCCTCAGACCTCACTCAGAGCAAAACTTGGAAATTCTCATCTGGGGAGTGACTCAAGGGCAGCCGATTCCTCTCTCTCCACCACTTCTGCCCTCTAGTTACTCACCAGCTGCCTCTCCATGCTTGCTTCTTCAAGGCCGTCATTCACTTTGAGAACTGGATGCCGAACTCAACACCACTTGCCTCAGCGTGAGGGGATGATGGGTGTCCTGAATATGGAAAAACTGAAACTTTCAAGAGAGGCCAGCAACCTGCTGTAGGCCACGCCTAGTGCCAGCCACAGTGTGCTCTCTGCCACTCGGTGGTTGCCTCCATCTACTTGACTCCTTGCAATTCCATGTCTGCTCTCAGCCAGGCTATGGTTGCTTCCAATTCTGTGTCATTTCAAGTTGATTGTTCTCCCACAGGTAAGGAGCCTTTTGCAGGTCATGTGGGAGAGCTTCTGGGAAACCATCCCTGTTTACTCTGCAGTTACACTGGCATGATAACATCCTGTATCCTCTTTCTCCCTAGACTGTCCCAAATTGTCATGTCTTGACGAACAGGAAAGTCTGTGTGACTGACTTGGATGGTCTGTCTATCCACCGTGTCCCTAAATTGAACCCAGGAAGAAAAGGTTCCTGGAATCTTCATTTTGCTGGGACATCATCTGTGCTTCCCAGCTTCTCCGTATCTTGTTCTGAGAGGTTCACAAAAAATTCTCTGACATGTCCTCTGAGCAACACTAAGTTCATTGGCAAGACATTTTTAACCGAATCTGAGAAGGAAGGAGTGTCTTCTACTCTGAGGTTGCACGAGCACCCCAGAACCCTATGCTTTCCTAACCACCATCTACGGCCCTGGGAAAGGAGATTCCCCAGGATCCTGTTCTGGCCTCAGCCATTGGACCAGGCTGAGCTGCTCAGACACCCCTGAGGAAGAATTCTCAGGGCACTCTATCATGCGTGGGAGGAAGATCTGACTTGCCATTCTGATAATAGTAACAAAACTATATTGTTCACCTGCCCCCCATCCACTGGAATGTGGAGCCCCTGGTGAGACTTTTCATTCCTCTCTCTCTCTCTCTCTCTCTCTCTCTCTCTCTCTCTCTCTCTCAACTTTCTCTGCCTCCATCTCTGTCTTCGTCTCTGTCTCTGTGTCTACTTATACATGAACAACTTCCATGCAGGTAAGCTGCTCTGTCTTAATCTGGATCTGAAAAGACTCACTATTATTCCCTGAAGAAGGCCATGAACAGCAATCACTAATACAAACATAAAATTGACATTGACTGGAGTAGATACAGAAATTATAACTCAGACATGAAACCTTGAATCACCCACTTAAAAAGAAACGTATCACAGAAGTATGCTAAGGGAGCCCATTCTGTCTACAACCCAAGATGGAAATTGTCTTTCATTCCCTGACAGTAGTGCTAAGATGTCACATGCACAATTCCATCTTATTTTCTGACATTTGTTTCTGTCCACATTGGTTGGTAGGAATAGTATTGCCCCAACTCTTTTCTTGTGTTGGCTGTAATGTTCACACAGAGTCTTGCCCTGTAACTGGGGAGGACTGAGCGCTCTGTGTTGTCCACGCTGGATTTATTTCCCTGTGGTGCTGCTGACTCAGTCCTCCTTAGGTGCACTGGAACGCTGCTAGCATTTGTGGTTTAGTCTCGATCTCTTCTGTCCCAGGCAGGCCGCTCTGTAGGAAAAGATGACTTGCAGCAGGATCTTCGTCTTCTTCTCCAACTCCCCAAGCCAGAATTTCCAGGTCTGAATCCCTCTGCCCTGTCAAGTAGAAGCAGCTCAGGGCCAGTGTAGGGAGTTCCGGGCTGAGTGTAGCCCATCACAAAGAACATGCACATTTTGAATATTTGAAGTCTGAGATGTGGACACTGGTGCTGGGAGCTGTGTGAATGAAAGGACAAGCAGGAATGGCAGCTTGCTTGCCTGGGATCAGTGAGACCCTCATGTGAAAAGTAAGGTGGATGCCCATGGGCCCGGAGTCCCCTTTGAACCCAGGACTGTGGGTGGGGGAGGCAGCCTGATCTCTGTGAATTCTGGGCTACAGAGAGATTTCAGGCACAGCCAGGTATACACAGAGACACCCTGTCTCAAAAAGCAAACAAGAGAATTAAGGTGTAAAAGCACTGGATGAATACTTCTGGTCTACACACGTACTCAAAGGGTGAGAACAGACAGACACACAATACTCATTATGTACAATTCAGCAATCCTGCCTTACCTGTTTTTCCTCAATACTGTCTAGACCCTATATTCCTGGGATTTTATTGTCATTTCCAAAATTCCTGGCTCTTAAACCCCACAGCGACATAACTATCAGTCCCCTAAAATGAGAAACCTTTTTTCCCCTCTCCTCTTATGCTGACACAGGTTTTCTGCATGCAGTCCAGGCTGCCAAGGACTGGCGGCCTCCTACCACTGGCCAACTGAGTGTTGGGGCTTCAGGTCAGAACCTAATTCCATTGGGTTTTGTGATTTTGTTTTTAAATGACGCATGTAGCTGTGGATATCCTTAAATTTTGAATCTTTCAATCTCCATGTACCAAATGCAGGGATTCCAGTAATTCTCCACCAAGTCTGGTTTATTTTGTCTTCTGGACAAACCCAGGGTTTCCTGTATGCTGGGCAAGAGCTGTCCCAACTGAGTCACACCTGTATCTCAGCCTATCCGGGGATTCAGTGTAGCTGAGGAAGATCTGGAGTTCTGGATCGCCCCTATGGAATTACAGGACTGCACCATTTACCCTGCATTTTCTCTTTTACCATTTCTAGATGACCTGTCTTTCTACTGAAAGTCTTTTGATGGACTGAAAGAAAGAACTGTGGCCAGACACCACTTTTCTTCTGAAGCTGGTGAGTTGGGACCTGGGTGGGAGGGAGGTAAAGGAAGCTGTCCCCATCCCATGCCATGTCAAGGACACTCAGGTCAGTGTGCAGCAGCCCAGGTCATCACCTGTGTAGCCAGGTATCCTTGAAGCCCCGTTCTGATCAGCAGCCCTCAGGTTGGGCCGGAATGGAAGGCAGAAGACTCTCCAGCGCATGTCCACAGCAGCAGCTGATGACAGTAGGAAGATGGAGCCTCAACCCCACTGCTTGAAGGTTTAGTGCCCTCGCCCCTGGGGTCTCATTCCCTCCCATTTGCCCTTTCTAGGCACTTTGTGGCAGAGCAAGGGTGAAGGAGTATGCCAATAATTCCAGGACTCTGGAGGCTTGGATTGTAGACGTGTCATAGACTCAAGGCAAGCCTGGGCTATATAAGGACCAGTAGTCTAGCTTTGGTGGCACTGTAAGATCTCTCTCTAAAAGCAGAATGTGACCAGGAGGACTAGGGATCAGTGTGTCCAGCCTGCAGAGTGATTCTTGGTCCTGGGTTCTTTCCCAGCACAAATTACAACCAGGTGGAGCTTCCCTGATATTGGGGGTAGAGACAAGAGGATCAGGCAGTCAAGGTCATCTTCCAAAGCAGAGAGTTTGAGGCCAGTCTAGGAGGAATGACACTATGTTCAATAAGCATTCCCTACTCCCAAATCTAAATGCCCATATCTGAGAAAAGAATGCCATGGAAGCCCATCACAACCTCATATCCTGGTGAATCAGAATGCCTTTCCCATGGAGACATGAACCCACAGCATCCAGAGGTGATTCACATCTGGAACTGGCCTGAGCATTGAGTCATCACCTGTGCACTGCACTAAGGAGCTGTTCAGGAAGTACTTCCTACTGGTCATGTGGGAGGAGTGAGGAGGGAGGCATGGAGGGCATGGAGACTCCCTCCTGTGCCAATGAGAAAGGCAGAATGCAGCTGGCTCTTGAAGCTGTGAGACACTCTGATGTTTTGCTGCCCCCTTGTGGCCTCTCTAAACCTGTTCCCTGTTAGGGCACCTGATCTGCTGCAGTCCCTGCTTCAGCTCTGGACAAGATTGTGGTGGTTAGGTGGCTTTCAGAACGGGGTCGACGGAGGCTTACCCTGCTAAACCCATCTAACATGCTTTTGTCCTACCTTCTTTCATTGCTTTTTCCCATTTATGATTACAGACAAAATAGCTTTCAGAGCTGGGCTGTCCAGATGTCCCTGAACAAATTTCACAGACCCACTGCTGCTCCTGGACCTGCACTCCACAATGGAGATGACTGGGTTGCGAGTAAAGTCTGTGAAATCCACACCAGTGTGAGATTCAGAAGCACAGGAGGGCTGGGACCGTGCCTGTCTGTCCACAATACAGTGCCTGCTTTCGTTGTGACATATGAGTTCTTTCCCCAGAAAGCGAGGGAAAAACCAGCAGGCTGGCTGAGGCTTCTTACCCCAGCACTTGAGATGGAGACAGGTGCATGTCCTTTTTGTTTTGTTTTATTATGTTTTTGAGACATGGATTTTCTGTCTGTCTCTGTCTCTCTAGAGCAGACTGGCCTTTGTCTCACTGACATTTGCCTGCTTCTGCCTCCCAAGTGCTGCGATCAAAGTCGTGCACCACCATAAACACCACCCTCTTGGCTGCAGGTGCTTCAACCTTGCTGGACTTGAGCAAGCCTGTGTCCAAAACACAAGGTGTACAGCATCTCAGAGTTGACATTTGAGGGAATACATGTGCTACATACATAAACGTTGGAGAATACACATGGATATATACAAGCACACGGATGCACAAGCACACAACTGTAAACATATTACAGGTGAGTGTATCTTCACGCGCACGCACGCGCGCTCGCGTGCACACACACACACCACAACCACCACCACCACCAAAGTAAGCATAGTGATAAAGAAGCACAAAGTTATCTGAAGGACCAGGTAGCATTTGGAAGTCCTGACCTTCATGCAGGAGCATCCTGATGGGAAAACCAGGAGAGTGAGACAGGGTGATGCTGCTGAGAACACTGGGGTGGTCCTCTCTGGATGCTAGGTGATGACAGAGCCCAGCAAGCCAAGCTTTTGGGATGCTTATTACTGACCAGCAGATATGGGAGGTGGGCTGACAAGGTGGTCCCAGCGTTGTTAGCACTTGTGTCACCTAATGTCTCTGCTCTCTGCAGCTTGGGGCTATCAAAAGCCAGTGGAGATGCCCCTGCACTAGAAGAAGACCACCTCCATCAACTCTACTAGCACCCCCATATCATTAAGTTATGTTTGTTAATTTGGAAATAAATTGTGTTTTTTACTGAGGTTTTGTTGTTTTTTATCTGTATTTATTCTCTGTTTCCATACCAATCCCAGTTCACCCTCCCTCCCCTCCTCCTGCTTCCTACATTTACCCATCCCAACTTGCATCTTCTCCTCAGAGAGGGTATGGACTCCCATGGGGAGTCAATGTGGTCTGTCACATCACCAAGTTGAGGCTGGACCAAGGCCCACACCACTGTGTCTAGGCTGGGCAAGGTATGTCTCCATTGGGACTGTGCTCCAAAAATCCAGTTCATGCACAGGGATAGATCCTATTCCTACTGCCTTTGGCCCACAATTACTGCTCATGCCACACCACGATCAACTGCATTGAGGGGCCCTAGATCAGTGCTAAGCTGGTTTCCCAGCTGTCTGTGTGGAGACAGTGAGCTCCTGCTAGCTCAGGTCTGCTGTTTCTGTGATTTTCTCCCATCCTGGTTTGACCCCTTTGCTCATATTAGCATTCCATTCCTCCCTTTCTTTCACTGGTCTCCAGAAGCTCAGGCCAGTGGTTAATTGTGGATCTCTGTGGTTTCTTGCTCATCCACAATGGCTCCCTCTGTCATAGCATATCTCTCTTGCTCTCCTGCCCTGTCCTTCCCCCAAACTGAACACCCCATTACGTCATGTTCTCCTCCTCAGTCCCCTTCCCTCCTCCCCTCTCACCTTCTACCATGCTCCCAATTTACTCAGGAGATCTTCTCCATTTCCCTTCCTAGGCAGATCCATGTATGTCCCTTCAGGGTCCTCTTTGCTACCTAGCTTCTCTGGGCTGGTGGGCTGGTTGGTTTCTCTTTAATATCTAATATCCACTTATGAGTGAATATGCCGTATTAGTCCTCACTCAAGATGTTTTTTTCTACTTCCATCCATTTGCCTGTAATACTCAAGATGGTTTTAGTTTTGTTTTCCTTTGCTTTTACCACTGAGTAGGCTCCATTGTGTAAGTGTACCACAACTTCTTTATGCATCCTAAGGGCATCTAGGTTGTTTTTAAGGTTCTGACTATTACAAATAATGCTATGAACACAGTTGACCAAATGCCCCTGTGGTGTGGTGTGCATCTTTTGGGTATATGACCAAAAGTGGTATTGCTGGGTGACAAGCATAGTCAACGCCATATTTGATATATTTATATACCAGAGAAAGAACTTATACACAAGCTGGAAGATCAGAAGCATGGCAGGTTTCCAAGTAAAAGTTTTTTTTTTACAAATGTGGGTGTCCTTATATTTGGGGCATAGATATTCAGAACTGAGAATTCATCTTGATGCATTTTTTCTGTAATGATGAATACGAAACATCCCTCATCTCCATTAATTAATTTTAGTTTGATGTCTACTTTGTCAGATATTATGATACCTACACCAGCTTGTATCTTAGGTCCATTTGATTGTAAAATCTTTTCCCAATCTTTACTGTCAGTTAACGTTTGTCTTTGAACTGGAGGTGCATTTCTTGTATGCAGCAGAGGGATGGATTCTGTTTCCATATGGATTCTGTGGATCTGTGTCTTTTTATAGGCAAGTTGAGACCACTGATATTAAGGGATATTAATGACCAGTTATTGCCACTTTCCATTACTTTTGTTTTAGTGTTGTTGTTAGTATTCTGTACGGGTTCCCTTACGATTTAGCTGGTAGGGGATAATCTATTGCCTGTATATTTGTGAGTGTAGCTAACTTCCTTTGGTTGGAGTTTCCCTTCTAGTATATCCTGTAGGGCAGGCTATGTGGATAGGTACTTTTTAAAATCGGACTTTGTCAAGGAATAGCTTTTTTCTCCACCTAGAGTGATTGAATGTTTTGCTGGGTACAGTATACTAAGGTGGCAGCCGTGGTCCCATAAGTGTCTGCGTAACTCCTGTGTAAGACCTTCTGGTTTTCCTTGTTTCCAGTGAGAAGTGGGAGATATTTTTGATAAGTCTGCCTTTATATATTACTTGGCATTTTCTTTTGAAGCTTTTAATATTTTCTTTTTTCCATGTGCTTAGTGCTTTCATTATATGTGGCAAGAGAACTGTTTTTGATCCAATTTATTTGGTTTTCTGTAAACTTCTTGTACTTTCACAGGCATATCGGTTATCTTCTATGAATTTGTTGAATGTATTTTCTGTTCCTTTGATTTCCTGGACTACATCTCCTTCTTTTATCCCTAGTAATTCTTAGTTTCAGTCTTTTCATTCTCTCCCCCAGTCTGGAGTCTTCATCCTACTTGTCCCTCAGCCTGCATAGCTATTGACTGTTCAGCTTTGTATTAGAACAATCAGGTGCCTTAGGCAGGTAAGGTGAAACAGCAACATATTATATGTGGCATGAGAAATTTTTTGGTCCCATCTATTTGGAGTTTTGTAAACTTCTTGTACTTTCATAGGTATATCATTTATGTTCAGAAAATTATCTTCTATGAGTTTGTTGAATGTACTTTGTGTTCCTTTGGCTTCCTGGACTACTACTACTTCTATCCCTAGTAATTCTTAGTTTCAGTCTTTTCATTGTGTCTCCAATTTCCTGGATATTTCGTGATAAGAGTGTTGGATTTAACATTTTCTTTAACCCATGAATCCAGTTCCTCGATGGTATCTACAACACCTGAGATTCCCTCTTCCATCTGTTGTATTCTGTTCTTTATGCTCACATCTGTCATTCCTGATCATTTACCCAGGCTTTCCTTTTCCAGAATTCCCTGGGCTTGTGTTTCTTTATTGTCTCTGTTTCAGCTTTCAAGTCTTTAACCATTTCCTTCCCCTGTGTGATTGTTTTTTCTCAGTTTAATTTAAGGGATCTTGTGGATTTCTTCCAGTTTTTTGTTTCTGTTTTCTTCTACATCTTTAAGGGATTTTCATCATTTCCTCCATAAGGGCCTCATCATCTTCATCAAGTTATTTGTAGGGTCATTTTCTTCTGCTTCATCTGCTTTGAGATATTCGTGTCTTGCTGTTGTAGAACCACTGGTTTCTGTTGGTGTCCTATTGTTCTTTATGTTGTGGAGTGTATCTTACAGTGTCGTCTACCCATCTGTTCCTCCATCAGTACAGGTGGAGTTTGAGCTTCACGGTGGGTCACTGTTTCTCCAGTTGGTGTAGTTGGGAGCTGTGGCTCCAGTGATCACTCCTCCTGATGCAGGCAAAGGAGTTCTCCAGCTCGCTCCTCCAGGTGCAGGCAGGGCCACAGGCTCCAGTGATCATTCCATCAGGTGCAGATGGGGCCACAGTTCCTTTGATCATTCTGTCAGGTGCATAGAGGGCTAAGATC